GGACACAACTGTCTCATCAGTAGTATAAAGGGGTAGCATTACATGATTTCCTAGTCTCACATTTCATGCTGAGCTAATTTTGCTCTTTTGCCTTCTCAACCTCTAATATAAAAACAGAAATAGAAAACCTTTGAGCACAATTTCAGAATGCTTCTAAATTTATTAATAGTGACAAACTCTAAAAAAATAGCAAACAAAAGGAATTAGGGAAATTGAATTATTTTCCTCATATGTTCTATATATTTAGCTTACTATGCAGACAACTCAGACGCAAACTCAACACTGGTCTGTCAAAGCCCTCTTACGTTCAATTCAGGTATGCAATTCTTGTGGGCAGGTTACTTTACAATTTAGAACTTTAAAAATTTTATAGAAGTAATACAGTGCATATACATTATATAACAACCTGAATGGTGTCTTGGAAAGATCCTGCAAACAAATACATTAATATTTATGCAATGTGATGCAATGCATAATCATATTAAGTATGACATGTACCAACTTATAGATTTTCTTCAGTTCAAGTCAGATTTTGCCACAAAGTGGTTCAGGTGTTTAGCCACCAAATATGTCACAAAAAACTTTCACTTTCCAATACCTTATGGATTTTGGAATAGCAGATTAGGGATTTTGGATCTGTGTTAATTATCCACAGTTAATCAAAAATAACTGCTCTTTTGTAAAGAAGAATATTTAAAAATCTTTCACCTCCTCCACACGTGGCATCGCAATCTTCCCAGCCTGTGTGTGTCCACATGAACAGGGGGTCAGGTGCTTTAGAGCTCTGATTCTCTGGAAGAGGGTCTGATGGGATAATGTATTCATAGTGAAGACCATAATTCTGATCTTGAAACAGGAGCACCTACAGTATATAAAAATGATCAAGGAGGATAGGTCAAACTAGAGCACACTTAATGTGAAACATAAAACTGAGAATAACGATACCTTAAAATGTTTACTGTATGGTGTGCATGCTTCCTTAATGCACAGTAGAAATGTGACATTTCTCTTAAATGTTGAAATTGTCATGCTTTGGAAAAGACTGGAGCTCAAAACTTGCCTATAAGCTAAAGACATCATGAAGAAAAGCCTACTTGAATGAGGTCAGAGGCAGCAATAATTTTCTTTCAGCCTGATGTACTGGACAGGCTCCCAAAGCATGACAAGTATTAGGCAACTTTAGTAGGGGCTGGGGGTGGTGGGAGTAGTGATAGGAATATGTGTCCTATTTAACATCAAGATACAACCTCAAATATAATATCAAATGTAGCCTTTCCACTCATATAAAAAGGAAAGATGGTCAGGAAGTTCCTGAGTCAGCAGAGAAAGATGAAAGAAGATTTGGGGGATCACTGCACACCATAAGAGTGGAGAACGTCTAAGCCAACTGGAAGACAAGACTTTTATTTCATGTTTGCTTACAGTTAACTTTAATTTTGGCAGTTATTGATTTTCCATTAGTAGTAAAGACTGTTTCTTTTGAAAATAAATTTATGTTAAAAATCACTATTTAATAAATATTAACTTCATAACTGCATAGTTATGCACATATATGTAAGCAAACAGTTCAATAAACCATAAAAAAATGTATGGGAATGACTGCACTTTGGGCTACACTGGACCGAACTACAAGCAGGAATCATGTCTCTTTTGTCCTCTACGGGTACCCAGAGCCAAGCTCAGAACTGGATCATTATGGACACTCACATATACAGAAATATACAAACACACACACCCATTTTTAAATGAGAAAAAGAATGAATGATAATATATATTTATTCCATTTTCAGAAAATATGTCAAACAACCCCATGAAATGTATCACTTCCATGTATCTAAGGACCTATGGAAGCAATCAATATAATTCAATGTGACACAAAATCATATATGCCTAAATGTTTAAATTAAGCTAAAATATTAGGAAGTTTTGTTCAAAATTTAACGTATATCAAGGTCATTGTAATTCTAGGCAATTCAGAGTTAATACTCCATGGAAAAAAATTTAAATGAGCTCAAGGTTAAAGATCTGAACATCTCTATTTTCTTTACTTTTTCTCAAAGTTTTTGTTCAATATATCAACCAACCTACTAGGAAATATTTTGATGTGTGGATTGAGGAACTACTGTATTGACTTTATAAAAACAACTATATCAATAATAAAAATAACAGTTTTTAAGTTCACAAATGCGTAACATATTGGGTATTATTTCTAAGTACATCGCAGTGCTTATTTTGGCTTAAACATCTCATTCGATATTGCCAATTATAAGTTACTTTAAGCCTAATGAGTTTAAAGAGAGAGAGAAAGAGTTTAAATGAGTGGTTTAAAAAATTACTTACCTTGTTTATGGTTATAATCAGACTATTACAGTTACATAGTTTTTAAATTGATGAAATGAACATATAGATAACAGCTATTTGCCAACTTCTTTAATTACATGAAAACTTGTCTATTTTTCCTAATAAACTACCTTTTCATTGATAGAACTTTACATTGTCTTTGAATATCTAATGCCACTTAAAATACAGACATTGGCTACAGAACCATTAGCTCTTTCTTACACCATTTGGATTTGGCAGTATTCTTTGCAAAAAAGGAAAGCATGACCATGTTACAATTGAAGGGCACATACTGAGCACGGCAGCAGCAACTGCCTTTCAAAATTCAGTACCAGCTTTCAATCTGTAATAGTCATTAAAGAAAAATATCTTAGAAGTGCAGTTCCCCTTGGATTACTGAATAAACCTAGGTCACATAGATGCCTTCTTTTAGATATAGTTCACTGACTTTAATTATGCTTCAAGCTTCCAGGAAAATCCTTGGTAATTACCAGTCAGATTAAGGATCCTGCAGCAAAGAAATGCCCTCTGCCCAACACTGAGGTCTCATGTATACTGTTAAGATTTTGAATTAGAGACACAGTAAAAGAGCCTTGGTCTTGCTCCATTAAAAAAAAAAAGAAAGTAGGTTACACTTGTATAAGGCAGGAAAACATGGCATTTTCTGCAACTCAATCATTAAAAATATGTTTGCTACTGATAATGTTGTTATTATAAGTGACTCAATAACAGAAGGAGCCAGACATTGTCCACATGACGTTGATTTAGTTTAGTTGAGTTTTTTTTTTTTTGGGGGGGG